GTAAAAGCTTCATTAAATTGTTGAAACCTTATCCAAAAAGAGTGAAGTAAAAAAATTTAAAATAGTAAACATTTTACCAAGACTTTTTATTTCAAAAAATTTTATTTTAGAAAATTTGAGTGAATCTTTTCAATTACTTAAATATGTAATTCAATTGATGTTGTTTACTTGTATCTTCCCGTTGTCATTTAGGAGTAAAATTGATCAGTCTCTTATTCGCATATGTGCATCTTAAACGAACTGTCTCGATATTGCCTTAATTCATAAGCTTTATAAGCAAAGATAGATAGTGGCTAGCAGTGGAATCCAGGATGCACGTTTCGTTCTATTTAAAACTTTACTCCATTGTACAAGCAGGTGGCTATCAGGACTCAATAGATAAGTAGATAAAACGATGGTGTTTGAGGCGAACGTTCCTGAGTTCGACTCCCAGAGTGAACACCAAACCTGATATGCAGGTACATCCGACTGAGGAGTCCCAAATAGGACGAAATGTGCATCCTGGATTCCACTGCTAGCCACTATCCATCTTTGCTTATAAAGTTTGTGAATTAAACACAAGCTGCAAAAATGAATTTATAAGACACAGAAAAAGTTTTATAAACAGTGCATAGATCTATTTGAATTCTTTATAAATAATAATTTTCATTGTTACATTAATAGTTGGATAAATTATTGCATAAAAGATTCATTCCACAATTTTCTTTTACTTGACGTCTATATTTCGGAGTCGTGACAAATACAATTTTACATTGAATAAAAAGTAAGGTAGTATCATGAGGTTGAATTACAGTTTCTTGGAACTGATGTTATTATATTCAAAAAGGAATAAATGTTACCTTGATAATATTTTAGGTAGTCTGAGAAAGTTGTTGGGAGATCATAGATCTTGATTTCGTGTTAGTTGGAGCTTATCAGCAAGGTATACATGTACTCTTTAGTGGATTGATAATCACTGAGGGATTCAAGCTCATTTCAAGTTCATCGGTACGAAACAAATCTTAATGCTTTGTCTTTTAAGTCTCAACAATTTAAATTTTATTGTTCTTGTGTAGATTTATATTTCTCAGTGTTTTTCATTCACTAATTTTCCTGGAATCTATTTATCACAAGTAGTAAGATAAGAAATGTTTACATTTCTCAGCCTTCACTTTCACTGAAACATTGACGAAATAATTTATAACTCCAGCATTTTGATATACCATAATGGTCTTTTCCTATTCTTCATTTTCCACAATATTTTTCCTTACTTATCAACAAAAATCGTTCAGTCCAATGACCACTTTTTCCTGATTAGCTATGACAGTATCAAAAAGTCCATGATCACCCTTACGACACCTTAAAAGATGTATCGTATAGCAACTTAATAAGTAAAACATGTATATATGAGATTAGTTGTACAAATGAGAGCTTTTTTCTTTTTGTACTTTTCGTGATTTTTCCGCTTTAAAGTATCAATAATATACGTTAAATTATCAAATTTATGAGATATATATGATGATAAATGTCTGATTAATTATCGTAATTATTTGGAAATCAAAAGGAAACTCATTCATAATCATGGTAGAAAATAAATAATAAGTTTTTATGTATCCATCAGAAATAACAGAGTAATACATATGATTTTTTTCATAGTTGAAAGTATGAGTCAATTGAAGCCAGACCACCAAGGAAAACCTGGAAGCACTGGACGTCCGTTTCGTCCTATTGTGGGACTCCCCAGCATATGATTTTGCTCGTTAATTTTATTTTAAACTTCCTTTAATGTAATAGTCTTTAGTAATGTATTTAGCAGATAATCAACAAATTAAACAGAGCAACACAAGATAAGTGTCGAGTTATGTGGAAAATTAGAAAATATACTTAAATTATAAATCAGCTGATATTTCATAACCCTCTATCGCTGACCTTATTATAAGTCATTCATGCATAAATCTCGTCATTGTACAAATGAAAATGGAAAAAAATTAGATCGAAGACGACAGATGGAACACACCTGTAATTTAAATACAACTAAGCTATACATTTGAATAATCTGATGTTATCATAGAATGATAATAATGAAGTGATTGCATTTTTTGTTGCTATCATTGAATTATGTATACGCTAAGTATACAACGACACAAATACATAGAAGCACAAATATAATCTTTTTATTTATTCATTATAGTTAAAATCTAAAGACACGTGTTCAGATTTAGGTCTGAGTGTAAAAAAATTGTATTTCTTCCATGTCAGTATGTAATACCATTATCACTTCTCTGTATCTCTTGTTGGGGAATTTCGATCAGATAATATCTGATGTGAAAAAGCAACGATCTTAGATAAAATAATAATTTAGGACATTTTATTCTTTATTTATGAATGAAATCGATATCTTCTAGACATTATTGATATGGTAACTTTAGAAACTATGTAGTGAAGTGATTAACTTTTTTCAACATTCCTAGTTAATACTTGGAATTGAGGTGTACTGCTTAAAAGCTAATTAATATGGTAAAATGGAAAGATGTGACTATTTTTTTAAAATAGAAATATTGTTCCTATTATTAATCACCATGGATTTCTTGTACTTCACTGTATTGAGTTGGAATTTAATGATCAGATAGAATAATAAGGGGGGAAATCAGTACAGTATGATTTCACTACGGCAAAATGACTTAAGTAGTTTATATATATATTGGTGTAAAGTATTTGCATTATACTATCAAAATAATGAAGAACTAGATACTAACTTCCAGTTTATTTCCACGAACTTTAGTAGTTTTTAAATGGCGTAAAGATTATGAGAAATAGTCTAGTATCCCATTACGAAGTATAAATGATATAGTAGGGAAGTAAATGTTAATTCGTTCAAATTGAAAGTGTTTTGTAAGTGTTAAACAATAAACAATCGTTACATTTGGGTTTGTTTATTTAAAACGTGTTATTAAATCATATAATTAGTGATCCATGAAATAGGAGAAAGTCTTTATTGTATCGTAAAATAAATCAGGATGTGATCAAAAAGATCACAATCACGTAAAACCATTTAGTGCACCTTTGAGAGACTTTGCACACAGATATTTTAAGGGATGTGTGGAATCGCTCTATAATCTAACAACAATAGTAATCACATAAAATGTAATAATGGGTTCTGTCGTTGATGTTAAATTATTAGAGAGTTAAAGAGTAAATATGGTGTAATGTTAAATAGTTATTCAGTAATCGATTAGAAATTTGTACAGTAGATTTGAAAATTTATGTTGTATCCTAAATCTAATGATACTACATATTATTGTAAAGCGCCATATATGTGGAGGGTTCGGAGTTTGCAACTCAGTGGCTGAAAGATAAGTGATTTAAATTGTCCAGTTTTAATCTTGAGCTACATATTTTATAGATACTGTCAAGCCCTTGAGTTGTATTGAAAATGTGTGATCATACCTATTATCTTAAATAGTTCAAAAAGATCATAAACAAAATTACCCGTTCGTTTGCATTATTTATTCCCACCTTTTACCGAATCCACTGTACGGTCGTAAGAAAATCTCCCTATGGTACTATTATCGATTTTATCACTCTGAAAACAATACCAATTATCGATGATAATGTTGCCCATTTTGTGAGGAATAGTAAATAATAATAATGCTCCCATATATTAAGCGATCAGATAAATATTTGTTTTTGTCAACAAATTATTTCTAACAATTTGGATATACACTCCTAGCAATAAAATTCATTTCTAATATTGAAACATCTCTACATAATTGAATCCTTGGAGAAAAAATAATATAATGAAAGTACCTTGTACCATCTAATGTTTTAATGGAATAAAATATTGATATCAAATGGAATATTTGTTTATGTCTCTTTTAAAATGCAAGCTAATCAATAGTTTCGTTTAAACGTTCCAACTATACCATAACAAATATATATATTTTTTAAAATGATTTAAAATATATATCATTCAAATAATCAATTATGATTTGGTTTATACTACTATATAATAATTCAGTAGTTTTAAAATGTACAATGTAACGGACAATTTGTACCTATAACACCCTTAATCATTATCACTAATTTTTGCGGAAAACTAGTCAGAGTTCAAAAATTAAATTAAATATCCTTATGTTTATCCTGAATTACTGATGATATTTTTCCATAGTAATACCGAGCCTTCCCAATGTAAACATTATAAATAAAATCATTGTTTATAAATCCGAATAAATATTGATTTATCTAACATAATATTATTCTGGAATGATATTAAATATGTTATTTTTCTATATTCATACATTGGAGCTAATATTTCTTGTCAGGAATGTATGCACGTATTGAATAAAATACGCTATGAGCTGTCAGAGTGTTATTTCGACATGTATATAGTTAATAAGGTTAAGTGTAATTTAACAGTATTAGGCCTGATTGTGTTGTTGAACTATGCATTGAAATTTATATTTTTTTTCAAGGTGATTAAAGGTACCGATAACTAAGATTTATCTTAAACTAAAGATTGATTTCTTAATATCCTTGTTTACAATAGTTTTGTTTTGTATTCTTTAGTTATTGTTAAAAAAGACTAAAATTGTTATTAACATCCTGCTTACTTTGAAGTTGCTTTTTCTGACAGTCCGTCCATAAAGACCAGTAGAAACAAAAAGTTTTATTACTGTGCACCCTTCATTTGGTTTCAAGTTTTATTTTGAAAAGTACTTAAATAAAGTCTACGAAATTAGCATATCTATAGTTTGTACACTTTTCAGGGAGTTAAATCGTACCATCAGTTAAGTTTAACTCATCCTCTAGTAATGTTTTGAATTGCTCGATGGAAAAACTGTCGATAACGTTTAAAAATTTGCTATTTAGAACTATATTGTTACAGTTTAGTGGATTATAACCACTCCACTTTTATATTCTGACAGTAATAAGTTTAATTCTCAACTCCACTTACATCTGATATAATTGAATATAATATCCTTAATGCCTAAGACATCATGTTGCATTTTATTTGTTTACAGAAGTGGATTGTACAGTCAGTGAATGGGGACCTTGGACAAGTTGTGAATATTCATGTGGTCAAAGTGTTAGTACGCGTTACAGACAAGTTCAGATTAAACCAAGTAACAATGGTAAACCATGTCCAGAGTTGAATGAAACAAGACCATGTATTGGACATAATTGTGCATCGAAAAGATTTGGAAGATCTGGAACGCTGATGGTACCCTATGTTTATGATATAAAAGGTAGATTAACATATATATATATATATATATATATATATGTATATTCGATGTTTATGATTTAATCATCATAATTTGTTATATCCAAATGAGTAATTTCTTTGATAATAACAGTAGAATGTTTACTTCTACTACTATAAAGTAACGTTTATGTGTAATTGATTAACCCGATTTAAGTAAACAAGATGATAAACCGTCAATTACTTTTTAATGAAACAAAACTAATTCAGTACCTACTTTTCATTGTCTTCCACATGACAGTTTATTGATATGGTAAAAGTGAAACACTCCTCTTCTTAAAAGCTAATAAAAAAATTAGAAGCTTGGTATGTACACAAGGTCAAGCAATGACTCACATTAAATTACCGAAATACCTTATTTATCATTTTTGACCTTTATTCAATAATACGAAATGATTCGTTTATATACACCAAAAATAGAAAACTATTCATCAAAAAAATGGTTTTATTTATACATTTCCAAGCTAAATACGAAAAAATAAGAATGTAATAATAACACGAAAAAGAAGAAGAAGGAAATAGAAAGAATAAATAAAAGTTACTTTGCAGGCAGAATGCTGGTATGCTTAGTTCAGTCTTCATTTAATTCATGATCATCAGCATCTGTATTTGTTTTGACTATTTCTCTATCTTTTTTCCATTCATTTATCTACTCTACTAATGAGCAGATTTCTTATTTGTCATTTGATAAATTTACCATGTGTACAAAATGATTTTGTTTCCAAGACAATTTTCTCTATATTTATACATAACAACCCTAAAACGTAAATAAACACACACATACAGAGGCTTGTATATTCTTTCAAACTGTTAATAGGTAGACTAATGAATAATTCGTTATTGAACAATAATGCCTTGAAATCAACAGTAGTTTTTCACAGATATGCATATCATCAACAATTAACAATGTATTTTTTTACAGCCTCATAATACAAACCGATCAGCTGGATTTTCAATTAATTCTTTTTTGTATGAATCAGCGAACGGCATTATATAGACTAGAATCATTAGGTAAAATGGTGATAATGAGGTGAAGAAAAATTAGGAGGCGATTTTTTAGTGTTGTCAAAGTTTATACCAGGTTTTATTTTTTCGCAAAAACTAGACGATAAAAATTAAAAGAAGCAATAAAAAATGAATTGAAAATTATCAAGGAGTAATTTAGGAGAGACAGTGATAAGTAAACAAGTCAAGGTCAAGTATGTTTATATGTTTCATCAGTTGTTATGGTAGTTGAAAAATTTGCATTATTCAGTTAGATTTTAATGATTGTATCATATAATGTTGTTATCTAAAATCCCGATCGACTATTTTTTTAAAATAAAAAACTACGTCTATTAGGGATAGATTTTAATCAACAGTAACTGTTAATTATACATATAATCTAATAGTGAATAAGAGAAATATGAAGTCAGAAGGGGATTTGTGGAGAGTTCAGTAGTTTCCAAAGTTGAAATCATGAGTCAATTGAAGCTAGACCACCATTGAAAACCTGGAAGCACTGAACGGCCGTTTCGTCCTATTATGGGACTCCTCAGCAATGCGCATCCACAATCCCGCACTCGCGCGGTTCGATCCCAGGACCTGCCAGTCTCGAGCCGGAGCCGTTAACAGATCGACTACTGAGCCGGCATCCGACGGTGTTAATGTCTAACTTCAACCGATCCACGAATTATGAGCGACCATTCACCAACATGATATGAAGTATTTATATAGATTCTTGTAGCACGAGCTTTTATGAGACTTTGTACGGAGGACGGACCATTATATTTCTTTTGAATTAGCGTACATTACTCCATAGTTTTAAAAAATATGAAGAGTTAATTTTAGGAGATATTACTGAAAGTATAATAACGAACTACTCAATCTATTTTTAAACCTGATGTACTAACTGTACATGTAGCGACGAAATAGTATGAATGACACTTATTAAAGGGTTTTTGAAGATTGATTATCGAAAGAAACGCTATTAAATCTGATAGCGAATGTAGCAAATAAAAGTTAATAACGAATACAGCATAAAGCATTACTTCATGTTACTTACTTCAGAGGTTATTTTACTAACACTAGTAATGGTTTGTCTTTTCTGTAGTTTACATTTTTATTAAGCATCAGATTTTCATCAAAGCTGCTTTGTTTGTTTTATTCAATGAAAGAAAGACAATAAAATCGGTTGAAACTCTCCCACTAGATTTACATGGATATTAACTATTAACTAGACAGACACATTAATTTTACCGTTTGTCTTAATTACTTAATGGCGTAAGGTTACGGATTATTGAGATCCAAGGAATAATGAATATCTATTTTATCTTTAGAGCTTCTTAGCAATAAGAAGTGCTAGTTGATCAATCTTCACTGGTTTATACCAGTTTCATAGTCAATATCGAATGATTATTTTAAAGAAATCTTCAAATGTGTCCCATCTGTTAACAGCAACCCGATATTATGAATCACTGTCATTATTATGACATAGTAGCAGATGATAGTTTTCAGTTGATCTGTAAATTTAGATTTTTTTTCCACTGAAGCTTTGTTAGTCATTAATTTGATTAAAACTCTTCAGTCAGCTGTTTTCTACAGCTTCTGTGGTTCATCAATCTGACCAACAGTCAAAAAACTTCCATTTCAAGCGAACAATGATTTGTATTCATATAATAAGTAAAACGCATGAATGCTGTCCCTTCCAATTATCAATAGGTAGAATTTACTAGATCTTTATTCGTTTATGAACAAGTTAAAACTTCATCAACATCTGATCTTTAGTAATTCATCATAGTAGATATTGTCTTCTAAGTACTGGACAAACGAATGACGAGCTAAGTAACATGAATATATAGGTATACCATTTGACAGAAATCAGTTGGATACATTACAGGCATTCTGTTGTCTAACTACTAGGCTGGAAATAACTCATACTTATCGTGTTATTTTGATGTATTACTGATAAAGAAAAGAATAATATACCAACTGCAGTCTTTATTACTACTATTATTATTTGATTGAAGTCAAGCAACAATGAAATCTGAAACACTAAAATTTACAGCTAGAAAATTGACCAACTAACTCACAAACTCAACAATAATAATTAATATTACCATCTCATCATACTAAAGTAAAGATGCTGACTATTAAATAAGAATGACAAAAAACGAACAATTTTCAATAATACGAACAAGTTAAAAATCGTTTTTCTAAGTTTAAATGATTAAAGTAGTTTGAAATGCATTAAATGCAACATCTCAATATACCAGTGGATGTCTGCCTAATGTTTATTTCATTGAAGACTAGAAATCATAAAATAAGTCACCAGAAAATTTACACAATCACAATGATCTATGTTATGTAACAATGTTTGATTTCATATATGATTACATAAAACTGATGTTTTATTGTTTATTGATTTTTCTCCTAATTCTATAAGTAATGAAGTATCCATCGATTAGAAAACATGAAGAATTTTCTTCCAGTAATTCGATATAATGTGCCTATTTTTCAAAAGAAAAAACACTTGTATTCTTGTGAACAGTTATTTTTTATTCTTATATATTTGTCTATGAGAAAGATAGTAATTAGTATTGAAATTAACATCGGGATTTTAATGAGTAACTGTAATGTATCAATGAGATGTAATAGTTTATGAACTTCTAGTTATTATCCTAGATTGTAATCACTTGGAGAATTATCAAACATCAGGATTATAGATAAGTGTTTTAGTTCAGGTTTAGAATCAGGACTAGACCAACATCCCAATTATCATTACTAAGTAACTTATAATGTGTAAATATTTTAATATCACAGCATGTCAGTCACGGGCTGAATAACTTAGTGGTAATGCTTCAGACTATAAAGCTGAGTGGTATGAATCGAAATCACAAAGAAAACATCAGTTCCTTAGAGAAAACAGGTAAGTCTTGCTGACAAATGACGAACAATAAGAAGCCTACGTCCAGAGTTCCCTAATGACTAGCCTCGACCACATAACATCGCAATACAGTGTATGCATTGTCAAGTCATTTTGACCAGGGGCCGCTCTGAGACTTCGCTGTTTGAATATGATTGAAACTAAAGTACTAGACAAACATACCAATTGCCGTTAATTAGTTATAAGTCAATTTAAACTGCTTGACAGGGCTGTCTTACAACTCAGCACAACATTCAACGCAGAAATTTTAGCTCCTATATCTGCAGTCATATTACGTTACATTGTAGGGATGTATTTGGTAACCAAGTAACTGAATTACTAATAATTGCCTTGAAATAATTAGTGCCTTAATCATGCATATGCACCAACATTTTTGAATCCATCTTCTACCTAATTTTTGTGAAACAAATCAGTATTATATTGATGTTTTAGTGTTTATATGAAACAAAGATTGAGATCAATAAATTATGTTGAATTTGATAAACCTTAATATGTGATATAAGTGGGTGATATTTAATTTTTGGTTCCTTTTACACCTTTATTTTATAACAGCTGAAGTGGCACATTTACTACCCGTACGTGGAGATGTATTGGATTTAACTAGACGTTATGATATGCGTTTCGATGTTCGACGTAAACTCTATCTTGGTAGATTAATAAAAATGAATAAGACTGAACAGCCAGAACCTGATCCGTAAGTAATCACATGATGTTCTTTAGATTTTCAATGTTCTCTTCTTGCAACACACTGAACTTCCATTGAAATGGCAAATCGCAGTGTTACTGAATTTGTTGTAATGCTTTTAGACATTAATGCAAAAATGTTTACTGCTCAAAATATATAACTCAATCCATTGTTATCACGACTGCCCAAGTTACCAAATAATGATTGAAATTTCGTGATTATTTAATTTGATTCAAGGAGTATTTATGTTATTCTAACAGTACATTAGTTAATTATCATAAGTAAAGAAGATAGTAGAGTACATTCTATTATACTCACTTTTTGGTACTTCTCAGAATGTTTAAATGAGTACTTATTATTCAATAATGATTAAAATTATTCTAGAGTGGGGCAAAAAGTACTTTCAGAACCCTTTTCAAAAGTTTTCAAAAGACTATATGAAGTCTTTCTGTCAGCCAATTTGATAGCTACTCTAGGGTCTCATAAACTGTGTTTCATTTAAAATTCCTAATACTTTCAATATGCCAAGATGTGTATACAATAGAATTTTTTTTAAAAATTGGTTAATGTGAATCACTAGTCAGTTACATATCTGTAGATCAATACAAATAATAATACAAAGATAAATAATACAATCCTGCTTTCCAAAGCTGAACTAGATGGAGAGAGTTCGAACCTAGGACGTAGCAATGGAAAATTTGATTATCAAATAAATGTCGTCAGTTTATATATACCTTATATCAGTAAAATGTCTGAACAAAATAAGTAGTACATCTGTATTATGATGATAGGTAAGGGGATCCTCCATATTTTATCTTTTTACTTAATTATCAAATCAGTAATTAAATAGTTTCGCTAGTTTAAGTGTTCCAGTCGATAACTCTAACTGACATGAAATTCTTTTGACTTTGAAACATACATGTAATATCTGACTACTAATAATTTGTCCAATAATAATAAGTGCCATAACTGATTTATTTAAATATTTTATTGAAGAGTATTCTATTATCAAACTTCAGGGACAACAAGATAATTAATATTTGGTTATGTAAGAGATGAAATGCCAACAATTAGACAGGTTATAATCATAAGTTATTAAACGAAAGAAATTGTTAATGATATTTAAAGATATCGAGATAAGATATGTTGATAGGTACTACTACTACTACTACTACTACTACTAATAATAATAATAATAATAATAATGAGGCATTCTTACTTTATATTAAGAATAACCATTATATCAGTATATAGACAGACGATTTCTATGACTAATACATAGATAAGGAATAATTGCCAATTTAAAAATAAATCTTTCAAAAGTTATAAAACAGAATACAAGAATAGTATGATGTCATTATTCCCATTATTATTATTCTTTGTTAATATTCAGGTACATTAAGGTAATATAGTAAGTAAAAGTAGTTACTGACAAGATAATGTTTCAAAATGTCATCAAATAGCAACACTTTCAGTAAACTTTATGATATAGACCAATATATTCCAGGGTTATGTATATGTGTTAAAGAGAACGAGAATAGAATTCAATTATAGTAGTAAAAAGTAGCAGATGCATTATCGGTCATATTTTGATTGTAAATAATGTCTCAAATAATCCGTAGAACCTACGAAATCACTTATCAATGGGATAATAAACATACAAGCTGTTAAAATGTAAACTCTGTTATCAATAAAGCGTTAACCAGTTGTAATGGTAGTAATAACAGTTTTATGAGGACTATTCGATATTGTGATCGTGAGCTAATACTGACTGGGCGATTTCGAAGTAAGATAGCAAACTGAGTCTGAAGAGTCTGCATTTTATTATTTAAAACACAGAATTCAACGTCAGTTTGAACAGTGTTATAAGTTTACTTACATTTGACCATATGTTACAATTAAAAATGTTGTATAAAGAACAATATACTGTAGATTCCACAGGCATATTATGTATCACACATTGAATAAAATAATTTTGATAAGATTACCGTATCACGCCTAGTTGAATATCAAATACTATGAAGGCTTCACTAGTAATGTGATCCCATAAGTCCTTTGATGTTTTATTAAATGATAGAGATTTTATATTCTACCCGAATTCGATTTTACCGGAAACATTGACTATTGAAATCATATGGATTTAAGATGTCATTATTACTAGGAAGTTGTAGAAAATATGCTTATTTATGGAAGATATATGCAAAATAATAAAAAATATGTAATGATATTGATTTCATAGTTGCTAGGTATGGTAATATAATATATATCCTACTTAAAAGTACAGATGATTACACCGTGAGTTTAATAAAAATTTCAGTACATAAATAATTTATCATTTCGATGCTTCAAAACAGAAGCGTTATACTGATAATTTTATTGTATTTTTTCAACTAATACAATGGTAACAATTATACTATGAAATCTAAATTATTAAACCTAAATATCAGTTCAAAATGAATATAATCCTGATGTTTTCATCTCTTGATAATCATTTGTTTATGATTTTCAGATACTGTGCAGTATATGAGATTACATATACAAATCAGGCTTGCCAAACACAGAATTTGTTATGGCAATTTTCATCATCCCGAGATCAGTATCCTTATTATTATTATCCTAATCGTTATAAACGACACAATGGTTATAATGGTCAATCGATCACTTTCAGCCGTAAATCATTTCTTCACGAAAGACAATACAATAAACTTGGAAATACTGGTCTGAACAAAAATTGGGAAGATGATTATTCGAATTCTGAATCATGGATTACTCATTCAGCATTACTTACACCAGGTCAACAAATTTGTGTAACATGCTATCCAACATATATGAGAGAAGATTTGGGTTACAGATGCACTGGATCTGGATTGCCAAATATTGAGACTAGATGGCGTGCACTACGTACTTCTGATTGTCAAGGCAGATTTCGTATGGTTAGTATACCTCAAAGATCATGTACATGCGGTCGAGGTGTTGCATCATTTGTATTTGTCTAATCAATACATAAATGTATACGAGATCGTGCACGTATTTATTAATTTATCTTTCCAATACAAACTTAAATACACCATTTCTACATACAAAATGACAAACATATACATACATAAATTTTCATCATTTTTTGCCGATCTATCTTCAGAAAGAAAATGGCTATAATACATATATACTACTTCGGAAGTTTGCATTTGCCTAATAACTGCAACTAACTAATTTGTAATCATTATTACTAATATTAATTTAAGTAAATGTTTTAATGAAACGTTTTAGTTGTTAGCTTTACATACATTTTCAAGTTCTTACTGATACTGTTAGATGGGGTCATTTGATTAAACAAAACTGATTAACTAAAACAAATTGAATGAAATTATGCATTGAAACATTTTACCGCCTTCTGTATTGATAATATTTAAAATTGTTTATTATTTTATTGAATTTTTACATAAATAATTTCTTATATCAGGGTCAAATGTTTAGGTATATTATTATTGTTTTAAATTAATATTATTACGATAATGTTATAATCAACAGGTTAAAAAACAATCTTATTAAAGTTCGACTCAATAGTCAAAACTATAGTAATACATGTTTGTTTAAATTAACTCAAGGTCATTAGTGTTATTTTCTTTTATTTCTCTAGTCTCTTTTGAAAGAAAAACAAACAAACAAACTATTCCATAGAAACTCTGTAATAAGGTAATATGAAAATAATCTCTCTCTCTCTCTCTCTATATATATATATATATATATATATATAGCTTTGTTTTGTGTTATTCAATTTTTATATTTTACGACATAACAATTTAGGGGATGTTATTCGTTTACTGTTTATTTTAGTGTTTATTTTTTATTTGTTTATCTTTTTATTTTTCGGTTTTGACGCACAATGTTTAAAATGTTTGTTTCATATAACTTTTTCCAAATTAAAAACTGAGACAATTTTGTAACAATCTTCTCTTTCCAAGAAAGAGTAAATAGCAACACAGTTTATATGATGAAGAACGAGTTCGTATTTATTAGCTTGTTTACGCTTTCCCTACATATATATATATATATATATATATATATATATATATTGTCTATTTTGATTTGTGTGTATATGCGTGTGTATACATGTCACGTCATCTTTGTTTGTTTTTTTTGCACAAATAATGGTCTATTTAGACTATTGAAAGGGAAATCATATTTATAGCAAGAAACTATTATGTAATTCTATAATTATTGAACGTTATCATTCTTGAATAATAATGATAACTATTATTGATTATTTATACTATTCATTTGAAGAAATAAATATTGTTTAATATTACACATGTTACTATGATATTATTTGAATATACACGTCTAATTCAGTCTTTAATACTGATATTGATAACCATTTTTCTTGTTTCTTTACTATTACATCTTATTTATAATGTTATTTCATAAAGAAGTGTTCATTTAGTGTGTTTATTTGATTTAATATCTATAGTGAATTATTGATTCGTGTTATATTCTTGCCAGTTTTTAAATATATTTTCTATTATACTTGTCTTCTTTACAACTTCTTATTAAAATAAATCAACATTTTTGTTGCCATGATTAAAGTTATTGATGTAATTGTTTTATTGTCATTGTTATTATAAGTAATTATTATTAAAAAAAATCTAATAAAAAACTGTTGTACATTTTTAAACTCGTATAATGGTTAAAACGTACGTTATGTAAACATGCTTTTCGTGTGTCAAATACTTTGAAGATTATTAATGTTTGTACATTATTCTGTTAGTTGATCCTAAATAACTGACGATATTATTTCGTTTCTATGCGACAACTAGAAGGAAGATATAGCAGTTTCATCTTCTTTATATCAGCAAATATAAAAAATGTTGACCATTTAGTTATCCCAAAGTTGTTTTTAAGGTATTCATTTCCGAAGAGGCATTGAAACACAAATTCTGATTACCAAACCACCGGATGGTTATTGTGCTTTATGGCCGATTTATTGAAGATAAGAATATAAATTTTCATGTGCTAGCTAAGTGGTCTTAAGATTAAAAGCTTGGTATGAGACGTTGTGATGTTCAGTTTAAATTTTGATAGTGTCATAGGTTCATACTACTAATGAGCTACATATTAGAATAGCTTCCTAGACTTAATTCGCACAGTATCACAGTTTGTTTCAGTCTTCGATTATGATCACCAAACAATCAACTGTACAAAACCCCCAGATTATGATAATATTATGACATTTCTGACGGCATAACTATAAATTAAGTAAAAAGTATGAATTTAAAATCATTTTGAAACGTTTTTAGAATGTTTTGGAATTCTAAATAGTTCATATGAACAGGTCCTATTTTTTCCATAGAATAAGAATAAGAATTATCTTTCGATAAATTACTTGATGAGAATTTGAAAATCTAAATACAGGGTTCGGATTTAATTGTTTCAATATAAATGATACTCAAAACTGACAGACATAACAGTAGTGACTACATTCTAAACGATCAGTCTATTTATTGAAGGATTTCAGGTGTCGTTTGTATACAGAACTGCAATTTTGAAATTATTGACCCTAAAATTTTAATGTACAAAGTTTCCCGCTATAACCTTCTATTGAATATACGTTCGATTAAAGAACAGACAACTTTATGTGTAATAAATGTGAAATTCAGATAATTATAGTAACAACAAATGTATTTAAATGTTCAAAATGAAGAACTTAGTAGTTATTGAAAATCAGTTAGTTAGAAGGATGTACAGCGATGACTGTAAAATAATAGAAAAATTTTTATGTATTGATTAATACAGTGTCATGGTTATTGAATATAATTATTGTTTTATAATACTTCAGTGTAACATCTACTTGTATTACCACCATGTTAGTGGTTTATATTTCGTGAACAATGATCAGATGTCAGTAAACCCTGTATATAGATGAGTGTGTTTAGTTAAAGATATGAACGAAAGCTTTATCTACCATCCATTCTTGTCTTCTTCTTTGGGTAGTAGGAATAGCAATTTTTCATGTTTCAATTTCAGTTTTCCAGCTACAAATAAAGAGAATGTATAGATTACTAGATTGTTCGTCTTTAAAGAATTAGAGCTTAAACATTGTCAGTATAAACTCCTAGATGTACTTAGATTAAATTAGAAGGCTAACTGAGATGAATCACTAAATAGACTAAATAAATATCAGTAGGGATTGGTAGTCAATTAAATTATACAGTTTGAATGTATATGACCACTAACATATGTAATGATAGAAGGTAACGATTCGAAATTACAAATAAAATGATATATTTGTAATATCCCGATGAGTAGCAAAATGAGACTTTTCGACGTTTCGTGACTCAGTGTAAGCCACTTCTTCAGAGAATAATTCAAAATTATGTTTAGTCTATATATATTTCATGATGGGAAGAGAATTATTCTGCAAAATGAATATATTCTTTGTTTAAATTTTATTTTATCTTAACTATTAAAAAGGCAAACAAAAATGCTCAAAGTATGGACCAGACAAGAATAAGTGAAAATATAGACAAAATAAAATATGTAAAGTAGAGAACTTTCAACAATAATGATGATTAAGTTTGAAATAATGAAGGAGAGATTTATGTTTCATTTGGTTAGTTTTCATGGAATAGTGTTCCATGAGCTATATCGATGAACTTCACCAGACAGAACGATGGTTTCAAGTTATACGATACAATTTTTACAAATCTACCATCTATCTTAGACAAGGCAACACTCAAAAAAATGTGGATTATTTGTTCGAAACCAAAGATCACTACGTCTCATTTAATAAGTTAGCATAGTATTGATGTAAATGGTCAATAAAGTAGAGATAAATGAATCGATATCATGATGAACTGTTGCTTTGTTAAAGTTTATAAAACGGGATTAACTTCGCAAAACTGTGATTTTCTTAAATTAGTTCTACTTAATTGAAAAAAGAATACCAATTGAAAAAAACAAACAAATGTTTAACATACGACTGACTGATTTGTGGAATATCTTTTATTGTCTTTTTTTGGATCATTTGACTGAAAGAGAATGGGAAAACTAGAACAATATGTATATTTCAGTAAAGACATATCATTTGGTTACAGCTTATTGTATTCAAATAAACGAAGTTTAACTGATTGTTAACTAGTAAAGAAACATTCATAATTAAGATTTAAAAATCATACCAATCTTTGTTTTCTAAACGAAATCACAAATGATTTATTTTATAAGTGACATTAAGATCTATTTATTTATAAGCTAATAAAATATGAAATTATTATAATGACCTCCAATCAGTCCGCACAAAAACGAACTTGGCTATAATTTTGAAATTCATATAACTTACTATTAATTGGATGAATACAACAGATCCTTGTAGTTCATATCATTGAAAAAACACCAGGGTCTGGAAAGCTGTATTGTTCAAGTATATGACTCCTAAAGACTTTGTATCAAAGATCCCACAAGGGACCGAAGCTTTAAATCTCATGGTGAGCATTTAACCTATAAATCACTGAGCCGACTTACATTAGTAAAGGTAGACATGTATAACATTGGATATCAACCTTATAGTGGGCACGTCTTGCGTTCAATCCTCGGTGGTATCATAGATGTACAATCCTGAGAAGTTCCAAACAAGGATGAAATAGCTATCCAGCTCTTCTTAATTTTGAAAGGTTTCCTTAATAAGATCGGTATGTGATGTTACCCATGAAATTTAACAATCTTTACTAACTTCTTATGATAATGATTGGTTCAGTTCTGAAGATATGAAGGAACTTTAATGTTTAGATTTTTTAGAGATCACTAGAAATGTTTTTGTTTATGACATGAATAAAGTTAGATTTACAATAAACGATTAACATGGTACTTCCAACTTTGTGTTTAAAATATTTTAAGCTAATTTATATGTCGTTGTCCTGCTCTAAGTGAGTGATATATAGATGTCTTCGGCAATATAAATTTAAAGCTAATCTGAATAAACCACTGGTGACTAACTGATGAAATAACTTTCTCATTGTCTAATCTTTAGCTTCAAATGATGAAAAGAGTGTAAAATCTAATTTGAACATTTTCATTTAAATTCTTATTAAATTTAGACAAAGTTTCCATAACGGATAGTTAGTTGCGTAACAGATCTAATAAGTGAATAAACACTGTATATATATATATATATATATATATATATATATAATGGTTCTGAAAATTGTGACATTCTTCAGTCGAACTATTTAATAATTTTCGTACATAATGACGTAACTAATTAATATGATATACAGTAGAGACAGGCATTTGTTGAAATCACCTATGTAAAATATATGTCTCCAGTAAAAGTTTTTTAACATTTTCCCTTACATGCAGATCTATGTAATACAGGCTGTTCTGTATAAAAATGAAAAAAGCTTATGGATCAGAATAAGTAGTATTGCTTGACCTTATCAGAAATTCTTCAATGCTACACCGATATGTTAAAGGACTACAGTTGAAGATAACTTTAGATATTTTAACTAAAATTTTCTATGAAAATTACAACATTCACCCAGTAAATGAATAGGGAAGCGACTATATTTTCATTTTGATGAAGATAAGTTGTGTTTAAACATTTAGAAAACTAACTTATAATAATCTTTTCTACTCAATAAGCTATCTATCGTATCTGTCTACTTAGACATATGTGGTTTACAACTATCATAATTGATAAACTGACGCCTATTACCTCTCATGAAGAATAGACAACCGGCCAG